GTTATATGGAAGAAAATTCGCAACACCCTCCAGAAAAAAAAACCTAAAAATCAACGGTAATTTTTAACGACATGAGACTTGCACTTTCTTAGACTACAATTTTGATGAATGAGCAACAGAAGTGCATACCCGAAAATTTTCTAAATATGTATTCTGATTAAAAATTGGGAAATTTTGATGACAATTTTTTGAAATTCGACTATTTTTTTTTTTAATTTTTGCAAGCTTTGAAACTTTTTTTATTGCAGTTTCTGTTACAGATTCAATTATATTTTAAATGAAAATTATTAAAAATAAAAAATAAACAATATCATTTTGAATTTCGTTTCTAATTAGTTGAACGCAGGTGTATATATATATTTATGTACATATGCATAAGTACATCTCATATTTAAAAGATTTTGCTTAACTTTATAGGTATTAAAAATGATGGTAGGCAACAACCTGAAAGACACGCAATTACAACAGATCGTTGATAAGACTATTTGCTTCGCCGACAAAGATGAGGATGGAAAAATCTCTTTCGATGAATTTTGCTCCGTGGTGGGTAACACAGATATTCACAAAAAAATGGTTGTTGACGTTTAAAGTCGTTTTCTAATAACACTAATAATGCTACTGTCTCCAATTAAAATACATATTTTATAAAGATATGGTTCTCTATTTTGCAGTTTTAAAGGGTTCTGATTTTTGTTAAATCTCGAAATAATTTGAGAAGTATATTGTTTTTTACGCATACAAATAGTTTAAAAAGGTTTTGTTGAAATCGTTTCTTGAATTACATATACATATTGTTTTTAAAGAACTTTGCTTTCTTCAGATATTTATTATGTGTGATAAGCTTAATTACATAAAATGTGTCAAAATATTGCAATGAAGGCGTAGAAAAGACACCGCATTACCGAGAGAACTAATTATGTGTATTGAAAAAGTCAACAAATGAACGTGTTACACATTTCTAAAAAAAAAAAAAAAAAAATCTAACTACATAGTCATTAAATGCAAAATATATTAGAAAATTTTAAAAACTTTTACATCAGCGATTGAGAACCATCAAAACCATCAAACTGCAACAAGTTTATCCAAATGCAATGTTTACTATGTTTTACACATTTTCACAAATTTCTTGAACGTGCAATATATTTATAACTTATTGGCTGCAGGAAATAAAAGGATCGACTTAAAGCCAAGACTTTTTCTAATCTAATACAGCTGTGCTTATATAATGTTACCTAGTTAAATTGTAGTTTGGAATTTGTATTTTAAAAAGTAACTTTTATGTGAGCATTTACATACATATGTATGTTAGATCCCGCCTTAAGATTTTCTTTTTTTT